CTTCAGTAAGTAGTCCTGCTACGTGTTCTTACCATTTCAGTAAGTGGTCCTGCGACATGTGTCTATCACTTCAGTAAGTAGTCCTGCTACGTGTTCTTACCATTTCAGTAAGTGGTCCTGCGACATGTGTCTATCACTTCAGTAAGTAGTCCTGCTACGTGTTTTTACCATTTCAGTAAGTGGTCCTGCGACATGTGTCTATCACTTCAATAAGTAGTCCTGCTGCTTGTGTTTAACGCATCTTTAAGTAGTCCTGTTACTTGTGTTTAACATTTTAAGTAGTTCTGTTACTCGTGTTCAACACTTCTGTAAGTAGTCCTGTTACTGGTGTTTAACACTTCAGTAAATAGTCCTGCTTCGTGTGTTTTTGAGAAAATTTGTTACGTTAATTCTTGTGGAATATAAGTGTTAGTTAATTGTATAAATGGTCAAGTAATTTTAGTTTCTAGTTAAAATCATTAACGTGTGTTATTTAAACAGAACAAACGTTTTCAAATACAGTAAACATAAAACTTTGCGTATTTTTCTAAGATGAAAATGAATACCTAGCGATGGGGAATAAACCGCTGTTGACTGGTGGTAACTTAGAGAATTCAACACGCCTTCATACGGATAAAGGCCTTCAGGCTTAGCGTGATCACTTTCTGAAATCACAGGAGAAGATGAGAACTGTTGCAGCGAATAAGGAGAACTGTTGGGGATGCCTGTAGACAAGTCTGGCACAATGTTTTTTATACCAGCCTGTTTCCCAAACTTTGGTTCCATTTGGTGAAATAGAGCAGGAGTCTCCTGTAACACACTTCTGGATACCTGCTTAAAACAAGTTATTGAGAGTTAAATAAATAGTATTAATTCTCCTTACTGTATGAAGTTTTACGTAAGCTTATACATTAATACCAAACTATGTTTACTAACTTGTTAACTATGTTAACTACTCTACCAAACTATGACACTGATTAAATGCTGAAGTTTAAGATTGAACATAACAAAACCCTGCTTACACTGGTGTAGAATTGATTTCCACAGTACTGGGTTCGTTGTCGTTTGTAATCTTCTTCTTGAATCGTGTGATCAATGTCATCTACTGGAACTTAAAAAAGAAAAGACGAATAAAATATTAGCTGTGAACAGGTTTCACATAAAATTGTCTGTGTACAAAACTCGAAACCATACAAAAACAGGCTTAGAGCATCTATCACCGATCAGAAGGCGTGAAATTCTGTCATCAGGAAATGTATTGTATCGGTTATAAAGAAAAACAAACAGATCGGAAATCTTAAGAGAGTCTATGTTAAGACCAAATCATTCGTAACGTGAGTAATGTTAATTCAGTCACGAAGTTGTCTTTACAAGGAAAAATTCGTTATACTAAAACCCACCTTCTAATGTCCATCTTTCTGAAAATGGAATATATATATATATAACAGAAACATGAGAAGTTTATAAAAAGAGCTGTTGACAACACGAGTCAACAGCTGTTGACATCATCAATCGTGTCATCACATTAAAACCACAGTCCATTTATACTCAAAGGGAAGAGATATAGGAATACTTTTTCCGTAATGTTATATTTGATTTAAGCTGCTATAAGCCTAGTGTTTGGTGTTCTAGTTTATCTAACGTCTGACTGTGTTTCAAGCGGAATGATTTAAGCTGCTATAAGCCTAGTGTTTGGTGTTCTAGTTTATCTAACGTCTGACTGTGTTTCAAGCGGAATGATTTAAGCTGTTATAAGCCTAGTGTTTGGTGTTCTAGTTTATCTAACGTCTGACTGTGTTTCAAGCGGAATGATT